TAAGTGGCTGGAATACCTGCCAAGAGAGCATTGCAATAGTCTAGCCTGGACAGAACAAGAGCTTGAACAAGGAGTTGTGTTGCATGTTCTGAAAGAAAGGACCTGATCTTCCTAATGTTGTATAAAGCAAATCTGCAGGACCGTTTTAAAGAATTTAAAGAAAAGCTAATAATTAATCATAAAAATTTAAATAAATCATTTTTAAAATAACAACAATCAAAATAAAACTCTTACTAACACACACACGCACACACACACACACACACATTTATGCTTTTCTTTAAATTCATGAACCCCCTGCAGTTCCTTCACAAACCACAGTTTAGGAAACCTTTACGTAATGTAATGTTTAATGCACTTCATTATGTTATTAACAACAAATTTAATATATTTTCTTTTTCTCTGCATTTTTATATCAATATGGTACAAGATTATCCTATTTAAATCAATGTAATAAAATGAGTAAGGTCAAAAGTAATCTAAAAGTAATCAAAAAGTGATTATATTACCTAAAATATGTAATGTAATGGATTATGTTACTAACTACATTTTTTGTCATGTAATTTGAAATCAGTAACGGATTACAATTTTCAAGTAATCTACCCAGCTCTGGTGACACATATATTTACATTTACATTTAGTCATTTAGCAGACGCTTTTATCCAAAAATATTTATTTTTTTATTTGCCACACTTCATTTGTGTTACGGGGATCAATCATAACACAACGCGACAATTTTTGTAATAAGCCAATTACTATTATCATTATCATTATTATTATTATCATTATTATTATTATTATTATTATTATTAACAGTTTATCAAGTGAACAAATTTACCTTATGTCCAGTTTGCTTTATTATATTGTGAACTGCTATTATATGAATATTTGTATTTTTTATTTTATTTATTTATTTATCTTTTAATTTTTTGAATACTCTGTATTAGTTGATGGAGACCCGATTCTTACTCCAGCGGCAACATGGCAACACTGTGTCGGTGACGCGCTCCTCCCCCTCAGCGCTCGCGCGAACACACTGATGCTGTGCGGCTGAACATCGCGCACACGCTGGTCATGGCGGACGGTCTCCTCTTCGTCTAAATAAAGAACATAGCCTTTCCTCCTCCAGAGAAACTCATTATTAAACATAACTACTTAAGATATCATATTGGAAGAAATACGCGTCATTCTGGTCGAGGTGAATTGGGTCTGGTAAGTGTCAAGGGATATATTTCCTTATTTCAGATAAAGTGCTGCTTCTCGGAGAGGGAGAGTCTCTTCCTTCTCCGCCATTTTGTGACAGCGAAACTGCTCAAAGAAGGCGCCGGCACATTTTTATTACTCCACGTCTGTTGGCGGTAATTTATTGACTTTATTTTAAGATGAACATGTATTATCGGATACGTAAGCTTCATATTTTCCCCGACAGAAACGAGCTTCATGAGATTGTATCAGAATGGCGCGGTTGTTTGCAGCGTAGAGCATTTAGCATGTCAACTCTTTAAACAGGCGAACTCGTTTTCCCTGGAAGATAAGCTTATTGTTGTTTTTTCGCACAAAGATAAGCTAACTGTTAAAATTCTATGGAGGCCGATAAGATAACGTTGCCATTTCGTTTATAAAAAGGTTAAATGTGGAGACGAAGATGCATGAAATGATTGCTAAGTAACGTTAACGTTAAGCCCGTGTAATTTCCCGGTTAGTGGAGCAGTTTCGTTCTCAAGCGATTTTTTTTCTCTATTTTTGCTATGTTTTTACGATCATTTGTCTTTTAAATGCACGACTGCGAAGACTAGATATAACAAACAGGCAAATTCTTCCGCTGTAACGTAATTGTTGCGATTATGTAAAAACGAGCGAATCTCTTGCCTGGTGGCCTATATTTGTAATAGCACATGTGTAGGCGTGTGAAATCCACGCTACTGTCTCTAGGTCTTTGCTTCATATTATTGCTTGGAATGTCTGCGTATCTTTGAGTCGTTTGCGTTCACTGGATGCTTGATTTGTTCTCTTGTCTTTCACAGAGATCAGAATGACCAATGAAGAACCTCTCCCGAAGAAGGTGAGCTCATTGTCGCAGTCTAATCTGATTATATGAGTCGCTTTCCGCCAAACATGGTCTCTTTATAAGTCTTTATTTCCTTTTTATGTCATTGCAGGTTCGCCTTAATGAATCTGACATGAAGACCCTGACTCGAGAGGAGCTGTGCACAAGGTGTGTAGCCATTCTGTTGTGCAATAAGTTTGAAGAGTATGTATGTTGAGGCTTTACAGATTGTAATGCCGATATGTTTTGTTCCGGGTGTAGGTGGAAACAGCATGAAGTTTATGTCCAGATGCTTGAGACGAAATATGCTGATTTAAACTGTAAGTTTGCACGTCCCAGATGTTCTGAATAATTATTCGTCTTGAGTGGTTTACTAAAGCAAAGAGTATTAGACTAGGTGTTATGTTGTGCAGAGAATAAGATGTCTATAGCTAATACATATTTTTCATGTTGAAATGTCTGCAGCCAATGATGTGACGGGCCTGAAAGAGTCTGAGGAGAAGTTGAAGCAGCAACAGCAGGAATCTGCTCGCAGGGAGAACATTCTGGTGATGAGGCTTGCTACTAAAGAGCAGGAAATGCAAGAGTGTACAGTAAGTGTGTTACTATATCCCTTTTTTACTTCTGCTTTATGGTCAGTACTTGGAGGAAATGGGTCAGTTTGCTTTAATGATATGGATTGTAGTAGATGTTCCACAGCTTGTGGATGTAGTATTTAAATGAAAGTGGAAAAGTGTAAAGATTTTAGACTCTGCAGATGCATTTGTCCTTTGTACTGACTTGTCCGTGAAGCATCAGTGAATATTTACCTAATAGCTGCAGTTTTATTCAGTCAAATGTGTATCCAAATGTTTATCATTCAAATTCTCACTGTAATTCATCTAAGTTGATGTATGGACACAGAAACAAGAATATTGTTTCCAGCATTTAAACATGGGAACAGCAGACAAAAAGTAAAGCAAATGCATGTCGGTGGAGAATGTGGGATAGTGGATGACCGCAGTATTGCACCTTTAAGTGCAACTTTCCCAGTCAGGCATCAGTTATGCTCATTTTGACGGTTGTTGCAGGTACAAGTGATGCTTTGAAAAGTTTTAACCTTTTTTTTTTAAGTTACATTGTTATAATTGTAATATATTATATATAGTATACATAAGGTCCTGTTTTTTTGAAACCTTTAAACCATTACTTAATAGTATACTAGCTTCAAAGCTAAAGAGTCAATTTTTAAAGACTGGGCAACACATGCCTTCATTGACATTGATATTTGTCATTTTTTACATGCTGAGATTTTAATGGTCTCTCTTACCTTGCAGACCCAAATCCAGTACCTGAAGCAAGTCCAGCAACCGAGTGCGGCTCAGCTGAGAACGTCCATGGTGGACCCAGCCATCAACTTGTTTTTCCTCAAAATGAAGGCTGAACTGGAACAGACTAAAGACAAACTGGAGCAAGCCCAAAATGAACTGAGTGCCTGGAAATTTACACCTGATAGGTAAACTAAAATAACTCCCCCCTCCAAACAAAAGGTCAAGACTTTCCTGATTCACCCCCCACCTTCTCCTCTGCAGGAGTGCAGATAATGGTGGGGGAAGACTGAAATGTTTTGCTCGCAACGAGACTCAGACTTTAAAGCCAAAGCTCAGAACAAAAGACATTTTTCTTTCATATTGCCCTGCTATTACAAATACCGTAATGTAAAATCAGAACAAAACACAACAGTTTTGGTCAGGTGACACTTTTGTTTCAGCTTTCTCTCTCCCCCCACACCCCTCATGGTACAGAAGCCTGAAGGAATCGGGACTGTTCCAGAAGAGGTGGTCACGTCGGAAACACCCCCTTCCAGCCCATGTTAGAAAGCTTCCTGTAACAAAAAAGGCGGCGTATGAAAGACTTGAGCAAAGCGTTGGCTCTGGAGCTGATTGAACTGTAGCTTAAAGATCACTGATTGAACATTTAAAACATGACATGGCCCTACTAAATGTGTTGCAGAGGAATATGCTGCCCCCATTTAAACTCCATCGTAGATGCCTTGAGACTCTGGTTAAGAATCTAGAATGTAACACAGGGAGGTGGGAATGTAGTGTGATGCAATGAAATGGGGAGGAGTTAAGCAATCTTAAGACTTTGGGGCAGAAGCCTTTGTTATGATATAAGACTTTGGGGGAGGAATCAGACTTTCTGATCTGCAAAGACTTTGGTAAATGTTCATCTCACAGGTGCGACATACGGTACAGTGTTTCAAACCTATTCTTTTTTTTTGTGTTCGTAATATTATACTTTGTTTTTGCTCTGGAAATGCACCTTGCGTTTACAGCAGTGTGGTCCAAATGAATTGACCGACTTGGTAATCTTCTTAAATTGGCTGTTGCACTGCTGCAGATGCAAACATAATTGTTTTTTTCAATGTGAATGCAAATGTGCAATGTGTGTTAGAGAAAATTATTCAAGATGTTTAAATGTTTGTATATAATAATTTGTATTTATCTTGTGTACCTTTTCTAATCCACTTTTTATTTTGCGGTCACCCAGTGAGGATTTCAATTATTTTGTTCATTTTTCTCGGGTCACGTTTAATTCTATTGCAGGTTTTTTTGCTCAGTAGATATTTTATAGCGATTATTACATTATGTTAAAGTTGCATTTACAATCTAAGTGATTCAGGAGTAGTTTTTGAGCTTCTGCTTTGCAAATCTATGAAAACAACTTGGGGTAAGGCAATTTTCTTTGCTACCAAGTCTTTTTGAAATATTGTCTGCTTTAAAGTGGCATTATATAATTCATCAGAGATTTCATTGGAGGTTTGCAGCAGATTGTCCAGAAAAGATGGTGAACCAGTTTAAGGAGATCTATATTTGTCTATATTTGACCTCACATTTAACCTCAAACTACTTTTAATGTTAAATACCTGCATTTGCTCTGAAATTATTCCAAGTCAGTTAGTTTGAGGACAGTAGCTATCTTGCTATATTACTATCTTACTGTATTTGGCACCAAAGCACCCTAGTGACCATTAAATTCAAAGTTCACCGGTACTGAAAATATCTTTATGCAGTATATCAATACAGTACAGAGTTTTCCAGTAGATGTGGGTTGCATTTACCTACCCCTAAAGAGAAGAGTAAAATATGCTGCTGAATTAAATGAAGTGCTCTGGCACATCCAGCTTTGCAGTTATTTTATCTCAATGATAATACAAGAAATTGCGATGCCTATTGACTGGAAAGTTTCAAGCACATTTTTTTACCTTTTGTCATTTAGTACAAGACCAGTCACAATAACATTAAGTCTCAGTTGATGCAGTTGTTGCTTGGTTGCTCATAGCTGGTTTTAGATTAACAGGTAGGTACTTTCATTGGATCTGTGTGTCATCTCTGCTTTTAGATTTTAAAATGAACTTTGTTTTGCAACTTGATCAATGGCCTATTGGAATACTACCATACTAGATATGTTCAGATGTATTGCACTTGTTGGTTTAAGTTGATTTGGTCTTATAACTGTTCAACCATCTCTTCCCAGAATTGTTTGAACTGTTAGTTGATTTTTAGTTGTTAGTTGATTAAACTGCTTATTGCAAGAGAGCTGCCAAAACGTCATTGCGTTTACATGTGCTGTGTTAGCAGTGCATTTTTAAACTGCATATACATGTAGCACGATTGGTAATTGGCTTTCTCCACTACGTTGTTACTTTTAGTTGTCTGATCTTTTCCACTCACATGCACTCTTTAAAAAGCTGTGAGAACCCCGTCACATAAGGCTTGATCTCTTGCAGAAATCCAGGCATGTTAAACCTCTTAGTTTGCTTTTACTAGTTTCAGAATACCGCTTTCTGCAAAAACTACACCATTTTCTTAAGTGCATCTAAACATCTTTTGCTGGTCAACAGTATTTACCAGTGGCCATTGGAGAGTTTGTTGGAAGCTGTTTATGGTTGGCTAATACCACCCAGTTTGTAAATGCAGTGGCCACTTGTGTCGACCCTGTGGCCATGTTCACGATGTGATGTTAGACTTGTTTCCCTTGCAGCCAGACTGGTAAGAAGCTGATGGCGAAATGTCGCATGCTGATCCAGGAGAATCAGGAGTTGGGCAGGCAGCTGTCTCAGGGGCGCATCGCCCAGCTGGAGGCCGAGCTCGCCTTGCAGAAGAAGTACAGCGAAGAGCTCAAGAGCAGCCAAGATGGTGAGCAAAACCCTTCTCCATTCATCTAACTCCATTTATGGTTTGTTTTTATGGAACTTAAACTCACTCTTTGTTGTCGGTTTTTGTACTTTTGCATTTTGTGTGGTCCAGAGCTCAATGACTTCATCATTCAGCTGGATGAGGAAGTGGAGGGCATGCAGAGCACAATCCTGGTTCTTCAGCAGCAGCTGAGGGAGACCAGGCAGCAGGTGTCTCAGTTGAACTCCCAAGGCACTTCTAGTGGAGCTGGTCCAAGCAGAACTTCACCTTCGGCGGCCTCTGAACCTTCCATTCAAAGCGAATCTGCGAACGCCACCGGCTCAAACGTTACGAAAGACTGCGGAAGGGTTTCCAACGGACCCTCCAACGGGAACTCATCTCAGAGGGGTGCGTCTGGGGCCAGTCTATATAGGGAAGCGAGCAGTGCAGATGAAGATTACCCACCATCGCCATCTGTCTCCAGCCCGTCTCATGGTGGCATGTCGAAACTTTCCAACCACTCAGAAGTTGCAGTGAGCCAGAGGGGCGGAGAAGGGTACGTGACTCAACTAAGTGCAGGCTATGAGAGCGTGGACTCACCAACGGGCAGTGAGACGTCAGTGACCCAGCACTCGAACGATACAGACTCCAATGCTGACTCCCATGAGGCCGCTGCTGTCTCCAAAGGCAGCAGGACTGCTGGTATGCGGTACAGCACTCAGAATGGCCTGGACTCATCTGCAGCAACAGTTGCCACCAATGCCTCCACAGGGTCTTTGTAACATTCTGAAAGTTTCGTTTTTTTTTTTTTTTTTTTAAGTCATGACAAAAAAGGAAATCGCACCTTCAGGCCAGTTAGTTCTTGTTTGAGAAATGGTCAAATGCATCACTTTTGTTTTGTACCCAACCTTCCATCACAACATATTACAGTGCATTTGCGACATGTTCAAAGCTGATTACGTTTATAAAATGAGCAACATTGCGTTTGTATATTTGAATTCATTTTTTTTAATGAATGACTTTTAAACCATTTTTTTCTCTGTCAGATATGAACATTTGGTTCTGTACTGTTCATTTGCTGACTTGTTAGAACTCGGAAATCATTTAGCTACGTGTGATGTATCATAATGCTCAATTAAGTCTTGAAGCTGCAAGTTCAGAGAGTCCTTAGTTTCCTGATGTTGAACTTTTCTTTTGTTCCTCTACATGACGAGAAAAAACATTTAGTTTGACTTGTGTGTAGTTTGAGATGTATCTTGTTAAAATCTGATTTCAATCCTTTTCATGTACTGACCAAATATCAATAAAGAATTTTAATATGACTCAAACCTTGCTTTGAATGAATTCTATTAAAACAATTACATCTGTTTATCAACATGTCTTCAATTTAATGCCTAAGCAGTAAAATGCATTTAAATCTGTGTATTTAGTGAGATTGTAAAGTGATGTTTGACATGTTTTTGATGTAAAGAGGCTTTTTAATTAAACATTTTTAGTGAAGTCTAGTATGCATAAGCAACGTTTTGCTGCCTTTTGTTAGCCATCCGCACCATTAGATGGCGCAACACCAAAATAAAACCACTGCATCAGACTCGCATATCTCGCTGATGATGCTTTCGTACTCTTTTCTGATCAAATGAATGAGACAGCGTAAAGAAGGAGGCTCCTCGAGACAACCTGCATATATATAAAGCCAGCCTACCGGACACAACAACAAGGAACCTGCCGAGAAAACCAGCATTACAGCAAAGATGAACACGGATGCGATTGTTATCGTTTCTGCCGCAAGGACTCCTATAGGTAAACTTAATATCATGTCTCATATCATTATGATATTTTTTCCATACGATGCTGAGCACCTCTGTGTAGCTGCAAACTACAGTGTATCCTGTTGACAGATTATACTAGAAAGTTTTATCTCCCGTGTCACTAACTCCTGATTTAACAAATTAACCAAATAATAAGTGCAGATTATTATTTGAGAGTCTGTTTGCTTTAGTTGTGTATCGTCAAAGTATGTGTCTGATTTGTTTTTTTTAAATTAGCTAATGCTCGAGCTATCCGGCAATAGTGTTGTGTCGCAGAAGAAACGCAAAGCTGCTCTGATTGGTTGCTCGGCGTTCTCGCCAGTGTTCTCGTGCTCTGATTGGTTGATTTATTGCAGCGCCATGGCCAGGAAAAATTTTATTGATTGCTTTGCTGAATCCTTTATCATTCATATACTGTATAATAAATTCATATATACTTTTTAAAAATTCTGCCCATTAAGTAAATTATGCTGTTGTTTCCTATAACTTTTAATCATGGAAATAATACCAATATGTAAATGAGATAATAATAGCATAGCGCATAGCATTATTAAATTAGAAATAGCATTAAAATAGCAAAAAAATATATTTTTTTGTCTGTTTACACATGCATGCTCCATATGATTTTGACATGGTAAAAAGCAAAAGTTGGTGTACGGGCAATATAGCCTTTTTTGCTTTCTTCTATAAATTCTATTTTTCAGTGAAAAGTATCAATATTTTTGCTTTTTTTTTTTCATTGACAGGATCATTCAATGGAACCCTTAGTAGTGTACCTCTCCATGATCTGGGGACATTAGTCATCAAAGATGTGCTGAAGAGGGCCAATGTAAAGCCAGAAGAAGTCTCAGAGGTCATCATGGGTCATGTCCTCACTGCAGGTATAGCACTTCATGTAGTATACTTTAGCCTACTCACCATATAAATACAGAACTCACAAAGCTCAAGTTCGCTTGGGAATTGATAGTCATCTCCTACATTTACTTAAGGTCATGGGCAGAATCCTGCCCGGCAGGCAAGTGTTGGTGCTGGTATCCCATACTCAATGCCAGCATGGAGCTGTCAGATGATCTGTGGATCTGGCCTGAAGGCTGTGTGTCTTGGTGCTCAGTCCATCATGACTAAAGAATCCACTATAGTAGTAGCAGGAGGGATGGAGAGCATGAGTCGGGTAAGAGATCTGTAAAGACACTAATGTAAGGGCACTTCTGTTATTTTTAAGTAACAGGTGATGATATCCATGCAACACTTTGTCTGTCAGACTCCTCATATAGTGCAGATGAGGTCAGGGGTGAAGATGGGAGACGCTACTTTGCAGGACTCTATATTGACTGATGGACTCACAGATGCATTTTACAATTACCACATGGGAGTCACAGGTAATATTTTAAAACAGACTGCCTACCTTTATTGTGTCCTTAATAGGCCAACTGATCTAGTTTTGGTCATGTGTCTGTGTAGCTGAGAATGTGGCCAAGCAGTGGGGGGTGTCCCGTGAGGCTCAGGACCAGTTTGCCGTAACGTCACAGAACAGAACTGAAGCAGCCCAGAAGGCTGGATATTTTGACCGGGAGATTGTGCCAGTTACTGTTCCCTCTAGGAAAGGCAAGAGGTTCTTTTGTGTTTAGAAATATGATTTTATTTTTTTTAATAATAAAGTATTTTTTAAAATGTTTTTGAGAAATGTCCCTTGATACAAAGAAAGAAGAAATAAGAAAGTAAAAGTAAAAACAAATATAAAATATAGTAAAATATTCCAAATTAAAATACCTGTTTGCTATTAATGTATTTTTAAAATGTAATTTATTGATGTGATGGCAAAGTTGAATTTTCAGCTGTCATTAGTGTTGCATGATCGTTCAGAAATCATTCTAATATGCTGATTTAGTGCTTAAGAAAAATCTCTTACTATTATCAATGTTGAAAACAGTCAAGCTGCTTAATATTTTTGTGAAAATTCTTAATAAATTCTTTCAGGATTCTTTGAATAGAAATTTCAAAAGAACAACATTAATTTAAAATATAGTTTTTAATTATTTTTAAAAAAGTTTGCATCCTTGCTAAATAAAAGTATTTATTTCTTTCCATTAAAAAATCTTACTCACTTGAAACCTTTGAACAGTAGTGTACCTTATTCAGTCTAGGCAGTGTTGTTGTACTTTTTGTCTTGTTTTCAGTAAAATCATCTTTATAATGAGATAAAGATTTTTTTAATTGTTTTTTAAAGCATAAATCGTACAAGAAAGTTACCTAAGAAAAATCAAAGAATTGTTAATTGTTAAAAAGATATCTTATGCAAATTGTCAAGTAAATGTATTTTAAAAATAAGACAAATTCTGAAGTTTTTTTTGTGTGGAATGTTTGTATCTCCTTATTGAAAACAGTCAAGCTGCTTAATATTTTTGTGAAAATTCTTAATAAATTCTTTCAGGATTCTTTGAATAGAAATTTCAAAAGAACAACATTAATTTAAAATATAGTTTTTAATTATTTTTAAAAAAGTTTGCATCCTTGCTAAATAAAAGTATTTATTTCTTTCCATTAAAAAATCTTACTCACTTGAAACCTTTGAACAGTAGTGTACCTTATTCAGTCTAGGCAGTGTTGTTGTACTTTTTGTCTTGTTTTCAGTAAAATCATCTTTATAATGAGATAAAGATTTTTTAAATTGTTTTTTAAAGCATAAATCGTACAAGAAAGTTACCTAAGAAAAATCAAATAATTGTTAATTGTTAAAAAGATATCTTATGCAAATTGTCAAGTAAATGTATTTTAAAAATAAGACAAATTCTGAAGTTTTTTTTGTGTGGAATGTTTGTATCTCCTTAAGCTTGTATTTATCTCTGATGACACTGAATATCAATTCAAATAAACCCTTTATTACCATATCAGGTCCAGTCGAGGTCAAAGCTGATGAGTTTCCTCGGCATGGCAGTAATATTGATGCTATGTCCAAACTGAAGCCCTGTTTTGTGAAGGATGCTTCCAGTACAGTGACAGCTGGCAATGCATCAGGTAAATGGTGACATCTTTGACACTCAATTATGATGTAACTTAAGTGTCATTTTCACTGCATACAGATAGTAGTGTTTTTGTTTAACAGGCATAAATGATGGAGCTGCAGCTACCGTTCTCATGAGCCAATCAGAGGCCCAGAGGCGAGGCTTAAAACCAATTGCACGCATCACGTCCTGGGCTCAGGCAGGCCTTGACCCTTCAGTCATGGGCACAGGGCCAATTCCAGCCATTAGAAAAGCTGTGAGTGTCTGTTGAGTCATCGCAGCACTTAATTCAGCCACATGAATGAAGAATGAATTTTTGTAATCAGTGCTTATCCTGAAATACTCAGACCCAGATTTAGAATCTGAGCCAAGAATTTGATTGTGCCAAGATTCTTTTTAGAAATTGTTTTGGGTTTATAACAACACAACATTTACTAATTAATTAATTAAAGTGTTTTCTGCTACAGTCCTTGACAATTTATTGTTAAAACAAATTTGGTTTGCACTAGCAATAATGATTCTATAAGTTGGTTTTTAAAGTGAATTGAATCTGCTTTCTAACCAGGTTGAGAAAGCCGGATGGAAGCTGGATGAGGTTGATCTGTTTGAGATAAATGAAGCGTTTGCAGCTCAGTCCGTCGCAGTGGTAAAGGAGCTCGGTCTAAATCCTGATAAGGTGTGTTATTTCCTCCACTTTATACATACTTTGCTTCATGCAGCTTTACACAATATTATATTGACACAGTTACCCAATGATTTCTGTACCACAGTAATAAGAGTGTAATATCATGATGAGTCTCTACATTATTGCAAATATTGGAGGTCCATCTCACTTGACCTTTGTTCACTAATGCTATCAGTGACCAGACTGCTACATGAAAATGAATGAAATGAACTCTTTGCCTAAGTTAAAAAACATAGTTATAATATTTATAGAAAGACAATTACTCATCTGCCTCATTTTTTCCCAATTCTTTTCTAGTTTATAGCTGATCAATTACAACATTTCCTTGTTATATATTTGACATATCCATGTGTGCACAGCATAATTTAACACTTCTTTGGTCTCTCTCCCTTCAGGTGAATGTGTGTGGAGGGGCGATCTCTCTCGGACATCCTCTCGGTATGTCTGGCTGTAGAGTGTTGGTGACCCTGCTTCATGCACTTCAGAGGACAGGGGGACGGAAAGGGATCGCTTCACTTTGTATAGGTGGTGGAATGGGTATAGCCATGTGTGTAGAGAGCAAATAAGCGTTGAGTACTGCTGATATAGACAAATTACTTCCAAACTGTAATTGTGTGCTTTTAATCAGGCCTTGAATCCAGTTTGTCATATTTAAAACAGATGTTTAAAATCTTAACAGGCTATGATGAGACTAAAGCAAGTACATACTCAAGTCAGTACTTATATACACTGTAAAGGAAGGGAAATCTGTAGTAAAATTCACATATGGCCAATTCAGGTGAAATCATCTCTAATGTATCATCATACGCAGTGTATCTGAGGCATTTTGCACT